GTTTTTTATAAGGCATATTTTATCGGCTTTAGCAAGATCGAGGAATCTATAACAGTTCGATGATGTGGGTAATACTAAGCAATTCATGATTGAGTCGAGCGATTCTCCAAAAAAAAATGGAACAAGTTTTGGCTTTAAATCAATCTTTACTGTTTCTAAATTTTATGCTTAAAAAATTATTCTGAATAGCCATCGCTGCAAAATAATTCCCCGCAGGAGCTTTGATCAGCTATCACTTTGCCGTGGATCCGGTTGTTTTGACTAAAGGTGCATCACTTGCTGTAGCCTGCTTGTAATCCTACTGTCTGTTAGTTTTCCTTCATTCCCTATTCTTTCGGCGTTAAACTGTGAAATTCCACCAATTTTAATTCATCCCTTTTGTAGGAATAGTGCTAGTAGCGCTTGATAAAGTCAGTGTTGGCATCCCAACCCCTTTCATTTTACCGCACCCAAAGTTGCCGAATATCAGTGGGCCTTTCTTGAGTGAGTAATGTGGTTTGTTTAGTTAGTGTAACGTATTTATTGCTGACAATTAAGGTTGTTAGGCGATTCTCTTTTTCCCGGTATTTTATCATACGAATGATTGCCAATAAGTCTAGCAGCTGCTACGACAGGAAGCAGTTCGGTTAACCAATGTAACATATGTTATTGCTGAGAATTGCATTTTGCAGCTGAATAAACTGTGTGTATGGGTTACGTCTTTTTGATTTTTTTTTGCTGGAGAGGGGGGAGGGGTGGTTTAATGACGAATGTCGACTCTGAATGAAAATGCTTTCAGTGGTGGTTGGCAGCGTTAGTGCACGGGTCATTTGCAGTACAGATGAAATTATATCCAATAATCTACTTGCCATCCATCTTTCTCTCACTGTCTAGCATTTCTACGGAATCTGGGATGATCAAGCGTATCAAGAGTATTATTTTCAATGCGAGAGGGCATGCATTTGTTTTGGTATGTCAGAAAGCTGTTTGAGAAAAAGGAAATCTGTCTGAGTTTGTTCTGGGGAGTTTCTCACAGTTTTAAGAGAAAAATGACACAAGATGGGTGATTTCCGGTGATGTACTGTGACCCTGTACTGAGGTAAGGCATGTTATCAGGGCATATAAGTAATAGGGCTGGTAATCGTTGCTGTTCTGCACTGGCGTTCAGTTTCAAGTGTGTTCGTTTTCCATCGCCCTGACATTTTTGTTTTCATTCAGAATCGTTTAGGCATCACTCTGTAGCCTGTTTTGTCCATCTGTTGCCTTTCATTCAAGCCTCTTCTCGTTATTTGTTTACTTTAAAAAATTATTTGCAGATCAGTTGCACCAGTTTTTTGGCTTCTGTGTTTTTCTGGTATAAATTGTATGGTCCAGTATATGTACAAGAAGCTCTGCTGTATCATGTAAAACGTGCCGACATCTGGCACAATTTTTCGCCCTATTTTTATCCGTTCTATTTATCATACAATGATCCTGTGGTCACTCAATTCATT